CTGTCCCTTCTCCACTGGCCTGAAATGTCATCACAATCACAGGGCAGACTTTCAGATATGGAGGTATGTGATCTGCTGTGTGCTCTCTCTTCTGTCCTATGGAATTCTGAGTGAGAATAGGGACCACTGTGAGACATGGAGCCTGTGTCCCTCTCAGCAGAGTGCCTGCCCTCTTCCCCAGTGCCAGGCAGGAAGGTAGATACAGGAGAGCTGATGCTTCCAGTTTTCCACAAGAAATCAAATATTCAGGTTTCAGGTGAGATCTCTTGATTTAAAGGCTGGCAACTAATTTCATTTTCTCCTGCTCTTCTTCACTCTAAACAGAACAGGGCAGTTGTCAGGGCAGGCACCCTGGTGGCTGGTGCTCATCTTGCCAAGGCAGCCACACCTTTTGTCTCTGGTCCTTGAGTGACTTTCCTCTGACATGGGTGTATGATCTGATTCTCAGAGTCATGAACATTAAAAGGGAAAATAGCTGTGCAGCACCTGGGACTCAAGTCAGCACAGCTTCTTTCTTGGAGTTTCTTTTCCTGTTACTTTCCTGCTTCTATGGAATACACCTTTGATTTCTGCCTCTCCAACAAGCAGGCAGCATACAAGCTAGGCAGCCTTTAGTGGTTCCTTTTCATTCTCTTGTTCCTTTCTGGCATGTGTTACTTCCTTAAGACTTGTAAGTCCCTGTGGATATTCACCAAGCTGTGCTTCCTGAGGATGAAGTTCAGCTCCCAGGAGGAGAAAGTTCACAGGAGGCTTCCTTCCTTTAGGTCCTCCTGGGAGTAAAGCTGACATCAAGGCATGACAAGAAGTCATGAAGACTAATGACCAGAATCACATGGGATTTAATTAGGCCAGCATTTACCCTCTGAGCCATTCTCCTGAAAAAGCAGGCTCCCTCTGCACAGCAAGTTTTAGTTTTAGGCAAAAATGGAAAGATTCAGCTGGAGAAAGCAGCTCTGAGCCCAGGATGGCCAAGGAAACAGGAGGAACTCTGTAGAGAGTATCTGCTCCAGGTGCTGATTGTCCTCCAGGGATCTTCGGTCATATGTGAAGGTGCAGGAAGAAGGCAGCCATCTGCAAGCAAAGAAGCCATAGTTGATAACATCTTAAATGCACTTTAATGAAGTCTCTAGGGTTTCCTAGGAGTAAAATCATGTTGTCAGCAAGCAGTGACAGTTTCTCTTCCTCCTCCTCCTTCTTCCTCATCATCTTCCTTTACCTTCTCTTACCCTTCTTTCCCCTCCTCCTCTGCCTCCTCCTCCTCTTCCTCCTCCTCTTCTTCCTTTCCCTCCTTGTGCTCCTCTTCCTCTTCCTACCGTGTCTTGTATTGATGCTTTGTGTCTTTATTTCCTTGCCTATTTCATTTGGTTGAGATTTCCCAATACAATGTGGCACAGAAGTAGTGGTCCTGAGCGTCCCTGTTCCTGATTAGAAGAAAAATGTTTTATAAAATTTTGTTACCATTATTATTCGGAGTAAACTATTATTTTTATATCAAATAAAATTGAGAAAAAACAAAAGATTTTTATTTTGTTTTCATTCGTCAACCAGTGCTTTCTTTTTTATGAAATTTTTTAAAAGACACAGAGAGGGATCCGCGCATAGTATTTCTTCTACTTTTTTATCCTTTCTTCTTTCTGGCACAGGTATTCCCAATATGCAAAGCTACACCTTTTGGAATTGTCCCACAGTTCTTGGAAGTTCTATTCTTTCTGCATTCTACTGAAAAATCTTAGCCCTTAATTTGGGGAAATTTCTACTAACATATTTTCAAGCTCAGTAATTCTTTTCTCAGCTGAGTCCAGTCTATTGATAAGGCCATGACATTCATTTGTTAATGTTTACTTCTAGTCTTTTTGATTCTTAGACGTTTCTGTGTCTGCTTACATTCTCAATCTATTCTTGCATGTTGTCTTTTTCCACTAGAGACCTCAGCACGTCAATTATAGTTATTTTAAACTGCTGATTTGATACATCTAAAATCTCTGCCATTGTGTGTCTGGTTTTGATGCTACTTCATTTTGTTCCTTCAGACTATTTTTCTCTTACTTTTAGCCTACTGTATAGTTTTGTTGTTGATGATAAAGCCATTGATGCACTGATAATAGGAGCTGAGATAAATCAGTTTTTGTTAGAAGTTTTGTGTTTATATGGCTAACAGTTAGCCTGTGTCTAAAGTTTCCTGTAGGTGTAGTTGTTAGTCTTTAGTTTCCTGTAGTGTTTCTTCTATATCTGGTGGCCTCTTTTGTTTGGATTTCCTTAGAAACTGCTTCTTTAGATTATGTCTGTGAATGCTGCTCTCTCAGTTGTAACCAACTGTTATTACACTGGAATGGGGTTGGTGTAGCAATGTGTATGCCTTCTATCTAGATGTCCCCCCAGAGTCTCATGTGCTCATACCTGGGGAGTTTTGGAGCTAGCTGGATCTAGGGCATGTGGTGCTGGGATTGAAGTCATGTGGCATTAGCTTACTGATTGGTCTAGTATAGTTTTGGGTGTGGGATGCACCACAAAAGAGCCTTATAGCCTGGATGGGATAAAAGGGAAAGAAAGGCTTACTTTGGTGCTGCTGCTTGCTGCCTTCTCCCTGCCTTGCTGTGGACTGTTTCTTTTCTGTGATTTTCCTCTGCTATGCCACCCTGCCTTGAAACGAGCCAACTATGAACTGAAACCTCTACAAATTGTGAGACGAAATAAACCTTTCTTCTTTTAACTTGTGGGTTTCAGGTATTTTGTCTCAGCAACAAGAAAAGTAACTAAGACAAAATGGGTGTTATAGAGAGGAAGCAGTGAATAATCTTACGATTTTATGTCTATTTTTTAGTATGCCTAAATCCTTAGGCTCTGATCTTCAAATATTTTTAGCCCCTTTCTTTAATACTTTATGAAAGACATGAAATTTAGTCAGGACTGAGTGGTCTATTTACCCATCCTCTAGATTAGTTAAGGCTCACTTAAAATATTCCCCTCTGAGATCAGGTCTTTGGTGAAGAAAATCAAATGTTCCAGTTAGATTTCCATTGTATACCCTCTTCCCTGCCTACCTTGCAACCACTATACCTCCCAAAGAAGTAGAGAAAGGAGCTGGCGGGGCTTCTGGAGGTTAGATTCACAAGGTGGGAGACCCCTTCGGACATGCCTCCTGGGGTATGAGCTCTCAAATTAGTTCACATTCAATCTCAGGAAGCGTGGATAGCACTGCCATTAACATGTTCCTTCCAGGTCCTCAGTCCAGTAGCATTTGTTTCCAGCAAGGTATTTACCAGTCTCTGCAGTTTTGGTCAGCAGGTTGCACTATGATTCAATTCTTTGATGGACCTAAGAAACATTGATTTTTCAGTTCTTTAGCTTTTTTGTTTGCGAGAGGCTGTATATGTAGTACTCAGGGTTGAACCTAAGACCTTCGCATTGACCTATATCTCTAGATCCTGTTTTAGTTTTAAGATAGGGTCTCACTCAGATACTAAGTTTCCCAGGCTGGGCCCTAATTTGAGATCAACCTGCTGCAGCTTCCCAGAGTGCTGAGGTTACAGGTATATACCACCAGGCCTACATTTTGACATCTCTTAATGTGCTTATTTTCCATTGATATATCCTGTTCAGTGAGATGTCTGATATGCCTTTAGCCCACTTTGTAATAGCTGTTTGTTTAGTATTTTTAGAAATTTAGAAAAGAACATTCTAGATATGAGCTCCTTGTCAGATTTGATTTATCATATGTGGTTTGCAAAAATTTTCTCCCATATTTTACTTTATATTTTAATTGTTCCAACATGGTTTTATGCAAGGTAAATATCTTAAATTTTGATGCAGTTCAGTTAATCATTTCTTGAAATTGATTGTGCATGTCATGTCTAAAAATTATTCACCAAGTTGTTGGCCGTGAAAATTTTCTTATTGAATTTCGTATTTTTGCATTTTACATTGAAACCTATCATTCATTTTTAAAATAAGGTGTGAGATCAGATTGAAGTTGTTGTTTTGTCTATAGATATCTAATTTCTCCAGAACCATTTGTCAGAAAAACCATCTCCCTCTGCAATTGAATTGATTTTATGCCTTTGTCAAAAGAGTGTTGGGTTTACTCGTGTAGGACTATTTCTAATCCATTTCTAAATTCTGTTCCTTTGAGCTCTCTCTCTCTCTGCCAATACCACACTGTCTTGATTCTGTAGCTAGATAATGTATAAAAATGACTCCTTCTACTGTATTCTTTTGTTTCAAACTTGATTCCCTGAGCTGTGCTAAATTTGAAAAAAAAAATCTTGACCCATTTTTGATTCTGGTGGTCTTAACTGAACCAAGGATCTGGAAAGCGCTGTATCGTTGAGCCACATCTTCAGCCATTTTATTTTATTTTATTATTCCCACTTTTTGATTTTGAAGCAGAGTCTCACTAAATTGCTCAGGCTAGTATCAAATTGCCATCCTCCCTCTTCAGCCTCCCATGTAGCTGGGATTACAAGCATGCACATCAGGCTCTGCCCATTATATTTATTTAAGAATGGCAAGCCATACTTAGATTATTGTGATTGGTAGAGGAACTACCACAATGACGTTCTGCAGTAAGGAAGGGAAGGTGGGGTTAACTCTGCATATGAAAAGTTTTGTTTTATGGCCCAGGTTATGAGATATATAGGTAAATTCTCCATGTATGCTTGCATAGAATATTTATTCTGCTGTTTTGGGGTGAAGTGTTCTATTAACGTTTATTATTTCCAGCTGTCAATGTCGCTGAATCCACAGAGCCAAGGACAAAAGTTCCGGATGTGTACAGCCTTAATCGGAGAGGTACCTCTGCGTGCTTCCTTTCTTTAAGATAGTGCAGTCCGGCGTACCTACATCACTTCAACATGGCCACCCACAGGCTGCAGTGTCAGTATGGGCGCCGCCATGTTGGCACCGTAACGGAAAGGAGTGTAACGCAGCACTGTGTTGAATACACACACACTGGCATCCTCCAAGCAGGAAGCCTCGCCTAAGCATGCGTAAGAAGGTCACGTCCCCAGGAGTCCGGCAGGCGGTGCAGTGGAGAGAGGGCGTAACCGGAAGTGGGTTGCGTTTTAATAGCTGAGACTGTAGTCAAGGAAGGAGGCAACTGAGCGCAGTGTGAGTGAGGAGCAGGTGAGGAGCAGGTGAGTGCAGAGATGGACAATCCCTGTTCTGAGTGGAGCTTCTCTGCCTGTGACAGGGGTGGGGAGTGGATGGAAAAACCGGCCTGAGTCACCTGTGACTGTAGATGTGGGGCTGAGCAGGGCCACTGTGGGAGCCGCGGGAGGACCGCTGTGAGGACTGAGAGTAACGGGACCTCGGGGAGTGCTGCTGATCTTAATTCATCTCTCCTGTATGCTTACCCGCTCTGTTTACATTTCTATTTCTGACTCATTGTGGCATATTCTGCTAGGGATTTAAAAAGTATTTTGCCGTGGTTCACATATAAATTTTCATTTACCTTACTTTGTTCTGTTCTACATCCAGATTAGTTTTTTTTTAATCATTCCTATTAGTATACTTAAATGTCATTTTTCTCTTTTTTTTAAATATTAGGCATTTCCAATTTTTATCTGTTTTATTGACCACTTTGAAATGCTGGCTCATGGTTTTATTTTTACTCCCTACTCTTTTTGTATTTTTTTTAGTTATTTTCCTGTCCCCTTTTTATGTAATTTTTGTTATTTTTTAATTTATTGTCTTTTTGAGACAGGGTTTCAGTATGTAGTTCATGCTGGCCTTGAACTCACTTTGTATCCCAAGCTGGCCTTGAGATCACAGCAATCCTCCTGCCTCAGCCTCCTGAGTGCTGGGATTACAGGCGTGTGCCACCATGCCTGAGCTCATTTATTTTTTTAGAGAAGTGGGATAGATTTAATCTGTAACCATGAAATGTGTAGGCTAGCGGCAATTTAGACACCCAGAGATTGGGCATAATCTGACCTCTGAAGGCAGCCAAAGGGCCACAGAGACTTCCCTCAGTTCTCAGAGGTTCTGGTTGGACGTTAGCTTTGTACTCAGTTTCAACACAGTACTTCTCAGGAAGGCCAGAGGCTCTCAGCTCTTCAGGTTTATTCTTGATGTCATTAGTGTGCTCCTGGTGCTTTTGGGCCACCTCTCTGAGGCGCCAGCCCTCCCACAAGGTGGCATTGGGGTTCTCCACCTGCTTGAATCGCTGGATGGCATGCTGCAAGTGCCCTGCAGCTTTTTTCTCCTCCTCCCACTGCTGTTTCTCAATCTGCTCTCTCCGAACCCCAGGGATGCGCTTGAACTCATCCCGGTCCCATTGCACCTGAACAGCTAGAGTGTATTCCTTCAAAGCCACCAGTTCCTGCCAACGTCCCCAGCTTGACTTCAGTTTCCATCTTCTTTTGTTCACTTTCCTTTTCCTTTTTGTGCCACCCTTGGTCTACAGTGTCCTGGTTGTACTTGGCCTACAGGGCATTCTGTTCTGACTGGTAATCCTGGGGACTGCTTTCTGCAAGACCCTCAGATGGATGATCCTCTCTTTCTCTCCCTGGATTCTGTCCTGCTTACCCTCAAACTGTGCTTCTTGAACCATCTTGTTCTTGGTGAACTCCATCACCATCTGGTCTGCCAGCTTCTCATGAGCCACAGCGCTGTGTTCTGCTACTGGGTTTCATCGTTGATGCACTTAATGCCAGCTTGCATCTTCACCTTTGCTGGTATCTCTGTTTCCTGTTCCACAGATCCTCTTCATGGAGCTGCTCCATGTTCTCCAGCATCTATTCTTCTGCTGCTTTGCAAGTAGCAAACACTCCTTCTGATTCTTTTCCATTTGCTCCACAATATGCTGTCTTCCTCACATTCTTTCCTCCTTTCTCTTCCTGTCCAGTTCCTCCTGCCTCTGAATGGATTTCTGTTGCTCTGTTTCCATCATCTGTTCCAACCCTTTCTCCTTTGCGTTCAGCTCTTTTTGTATCCGCTGCTTCTGCAGGATTTGGGCATCCATTGGCATTGAGGACAATCTTGTTTATGTCCTTAAACTCCTCTTCCTGCTCCATGCACTGCTTTCTGGCTCTCTGCAGAAGGTTCTGGGTCTGCTCCTCCAGTGACCTCTTCCTCCAGGTCACTGAGCACCATTTCTTGTGTACCATTTCCTTCTGTTCCATGATTTTGTGCAGTGTCACTACATCCATAGTGGCTTCCTTTTCCTTCTTAAAGGCCTGATTGATCCCTAGCCTCCAGCTCATCTCTGTTTCTGATGTGGTGTTCCCTTTTGATCTGTTCAAACTCTTCCAGAACTGATGATTAGTGATTCTCTGTGGAAATGAGGAGTTCTTACATCATGCACCTGAAAGTTACATCTCAGAGTTCATAGTTTTAGTCTGATAGTGAGTTAAATTTTGTGATCTGTTGGAACCAGTAGAAGAGATAATCAGGATGCTGTTTGTGATTAACTGCATTTGGGGTGCCTCTATCACCCGCACCATAGCAGGGCCCTGGTTGACATGTTGCAACTACAGCCAGAGTTTTCTAGCCTGGCCATGCCTCTCGTAACCCCCTCTTAAGTTTTATATTGGGTATATTTGGAGTTGTACAGTTTCTCTATATCTCTGTAAAATTTATACATTAAATTTTATGTATGTATTGTATGTATGTATTAATTTATTTTGTACTAAGGATAGGGTGGTAGAATCCAGGGCTTTTATACTGAGCTGTACCACCAGCCTTTAAATTTTTTTTTTTTAAATTTTGAGACAGGCATTAGCTAAGTCTCTAAATTGTTCAGTCTGGGCTCAGATTTGCAATCCTCCTGCCTCAGCCTCCCAGAATGCTGGAATTACAGGTCTGTGCCAACCCCTTGATGTTCTAATTTGATCTTGAGTTGTTTAGAAGAGTTTCTTCATCCCTAAATTATTAAGATATGTTCCAATTGGCTTTTTTTATTGTATTGTCAGCAAATGTTCAATGTCAAATCGAAGCTTTTAAAAACTAACATTTTCTTTGTGTGGTGTAAAGTCTTACTCGTTAAATCTGACGTGTTTTAGTTTTTCAAATTTTTGTCCCTTCTGATTTTCTTCTGCTTGATTTATAATTCAGTACAGTCTTTGGAAGAGATACTATTAAAAACTTTAAACAGTTCATATTTTTCTATATGTTTTTGATAATTTTATTTGTGTGTATCTGGGGAGGGGCATGCATAAACCTAATGATTAATGCATTTTCTATCATTTTTCTGTTATTGGATGCTGTTATTATAGGATCACTTTTTGCAACAAAAAAACACTTTTTCAGTTCTCCGTTATACCTACATTGCCAGAGTTACTTTCATTTTTACTGCATTTGGATAATGTACTGTATCTCTGTCTATATCTTTATTTTATAATTTTAATTGTTTCTTTATTTTAGATGATTTGTCTCTTTATTTAGTACTTGTAAACAGTATTTGCTCTACCTCATGATCTTTCCCCTGAGTCGCCATGCTCCATGCTGTTGGATATAGTGAGCTTCAACTGTCTCTCCACTTACTCTTGGGAAGTTCCTGAGTGGCTCTCACCCTATGGATGGCAACAGAGCCCTGGGGTCAGGCCTCTTGGCCGAGCATTCAGGTTCCTTTTTCTGGCTCTAGCCCCACTGCTGTCCAGTAACACTAAGACTCTTTGGATATTTACCCAACTTCAGGCTTTTGGAAAAATTGGAGTTTGAAGATACACAGAGGTTCTAAGACACACACACACACACACACACACACACACACACACACACACACATTTTTTGGCACAGTGTGATAAGTATGGGGACAGCCTCAGGTCAGATTAAGTTAATTTAATAGTAGATTTAGAGGTTTGATCAAGTTCTTTTTTTCAGCCAACTTGTTTTTGACAAGACTGCATTTCAGGTGGTATTGGTATTGTATATTTCTTTTGTGAAACATGTCTGGCCATCACTTTGTGATATCAGCAACCACTGATGATCATTTCCGAGATTTATTCTTTCATTAGGGGTAGAAAATGGGTATATTCCATATCTACCATTCCTGTGTTTAGGCCATAAAGTAGGAGAAGTTCCTTCAGGAAGATTTGGGTTACTGAAAGTTTCAGCCATTTAGGAAAGGCAGCAGCAGTGGTTGACTCTTCTTTTTTTCTCAGTTTATAAATTTTAATAATAATAGCAACAACAACAATAATAATGTGGTTCTCTAACATTTTCCAGAAGTTCCATAAACATTTTCCATCTTGAGCTAAGTGGCAGATGCACAAATATGGAATATACAGAAATGCACTAAGCTGCATACCTAGTATTTATGTACTTCCTATAAGTTATTCTGCAATAAAAAATTATAAATAACCACAAATTTTGGTTATATTAGAAATGTGTTTAAGAGAACTATATAAAAATTCAAAGTAGGAATAAATTTTAGAAGTTAGGAAAAAGTGAAGTGGATGGAACTAAGGTAAAGGGTACACAATAGCAAATATGGGAGCCTTGGTTGAACTGTTTCCAAACAAAATAGTGAGAATATGTGTTTTGGGAATAACTGGAATATTTTGAATATGAGCTGAATATGTAAATGATATGAGAGAATTACTATTAATTTTCTGAGGCATGATAACGATTTGTGATTTATGTGATGTATTTTGGCCCAGAGTGTCACATCTACAACTTTCAAATTATTCAACAATGAAGTATTTAAATATAGACAAGACAAAATTTTACCTCTTTTTCTCTTAGGGGAGGGTGATTGAGTCTGAGAATTAAACTGTTAAACAGATTATCACAAAAGCACATAAATTTTATGTGACATGGTAACACTTATCAGGAAATAAAGACCTAAAGAAGTGAGAAAATACAATTTGATGTTAGGTTGAAAAAAAGCAGTTGAGGAAAAGTAAGTTAGGTGGGGAGGCTAAAAGGAAGATAAATTTTATTGTTAGTAAGATTTGTTTATATAAATCTATTTATGTAAAGTTTTCTAGGCCATGTCTCCACAGCCTAGAAAATTTTCTCCACAAAGAAAATTTTCCTTTCCTCCTGTTATAATGAAGGTGTCTTTTTACATGGGATACTTATCAATTTTAAGGAAGAAAAGAAGATTAGAAAAAGGATATTAAAATAGCCCTCTTGCATCTGCTATTTTTCACATACTTTTAGTTTACAATAATCTTTATGCCAAAGTGGCATATTTTGGAGTAAGTATTCTGCCACCCTTCACACACATTTAAAGTAAATAAAATGAGTTTACATGTGGCTATATGTATTTATGAAAGATTAAACAAATATGGCAAAAAGCTAATTGTTGAAACAAGGTAGAGGGTATCTATATATTTCTTGTACTTGTTATTGAACTTTTCTTTATGTTAGAAACTTGTGTAAAGACAATTGGGAAGCAGTGGACGCAGTCAGTTGGTGACTTGGCTTAGATCTTAAGGTTCATTAATTACCAACTGGAATCTGATCCACTTACTGTGTTATACCTAAGACAAAATTTCCACGAATGTGTTCTTTTAAGAGATACATCTGATAGAAAACAGTGAAAAAATTAGAAAGCTCCCAATATTCTCGGTCTTTGGACTTGTTACAGAAGCTTAAAATAAAATTATTAGAGTAAGATATTCTTTTAAAACAGTTTTTTTATTAGCAAATAAAAACATAGACATTTAAATTATGTTACCTAAATATTATATGTTAACGTGTTCATATATTTTCTTCCCAATAATGTTCTCTCTGTAGATGCATAAATGCATTTGTGTATGCATATATATGCATGTGTGTGCATGTGTATGTACACACAAGTAAACACAGTATAATGAAAATGGATTCATACTATTTGCTGTATCTTTTTGTTTTTACTTGGTGTTTTGATCTATTTTTCTGCAGTATTTAAATTTTATAGAACATACCGTCCTTGCTGGGTTTAAGCAATCCATAATTACATCAAGATGTTTTTTGCCTTGTCTTTTTTATTGACTATGTTGTGAGAAAACTCCTGCTTTTAAGTCTTTGAACAATGTGGAATGATTTTTTTAGTGATACAGTTCTAGGAATAAGTTTTTGGGTCAGAGGTCCATAGGCCCTAAATGACAAATGTATCTCTTGTGACATTGATATACTTCCTGTTCTCAACTGTACCTTTGCCCATCTATTTTCTCAGCTCTCTGTCCTTTTCCCAGAAGAGCCAAAAATGAACAAGTTCCTGGTGAGTCCTTGTCTATTTGTTTGTTACTTGATTTTATTTTCCTAGTGGATTTTAGGAGGCATATAATGCTTCATATAGTAAGATAAACAAGTACAGGTAAATAAAAACTAAGAACAGAGAAAATGAAGGAGACTATGAACTCCAGATCAATTTTGGAATGTTGATGTGAGTCCTGTGGTTTCACACAGTTATGAACTGAACTATTCAGTTATCTCTGATCTTTTGACAATAATGGAAATTGGACACATGGTTTATATTATTAAAAAGTAATTTATTTCATCAGTGATACCAAGTTTTCGTCCCTGATGGAAAATAATTTTGATAGATCTTTAGATGGTGGTGGGATATCTTCAATAGCAACCCCATACAAGTAGCTAACAAGATTTCCCTGTCTCTTGTAGAGCAGTGTCTCTCACACTTTATTTGCATATGAGTTCAGATTTTGAACAAGAATTTGTGTTTCTCACATGTTCCCAAAGAATGTCAGTATTACTTGTCCAAGGGACACCCACTGAAGCAAATGACTTTATCATTAATAGGTATTAATTTTGTCAAATGCTTTTTCTGCATCATTTGACATAATAATGTGATTTTTATTATGGCAGTCTCTTGATATGGTAGATTACATTGATTTTTTTGACTGTTGAATTGATCTTTCATTTTTGGAATAAGCCCCACTTTGTCATGACATTGATTTCTTTTAATGTATTTTACTAATATGTTATTAAGGGTTTTTGCAGATTTATGAGAAATATTGACCCCCGCCCGCCATATCAGGGTAGCATTGATCTCATGAAATGAATTGGAATGCATTCCTTTATATGAATTTTTCTGTCAGAGATTGTGGGTGTGAGATATGATAAAAAATATGGTGAATGTACAAACTTTAAAAATGTATTACAGTAAAAGACACATTGCCATTAATACCCTCAAAATACTCTTTCTCAAAAAAAAAGAAATACTCTTTCTCCTTTTAAACACAGTTCACATAATTCTTACCACTTTCTGAAGCACTTCTGGAAGACCTGTTTTGTGAATGCCTTAGATAACTCTCTTCAAGGCCTCTAGTTTTACCAGATGAGGACTCTTATTTGTATGATTTCAATTAACCTTAAATACCTTTTAAAAGCCTTTTCTCTGGAGACAATCATATAGGAGGTTAGGAGTTCAATGTGAATATTTGGAGGACATAACTGAGTTCATAGAAGAAATGTTGTCTTATTCTTTCAATATTTGCAAGATACGTGGTAGTGTCTGCTGTTTTATTCTTCAAATTGGTTGTGGTTTTTCCCTGATTTTATGTATCAATCTTAGATGTTAGATGATTATAAAAATCAGAAAATGATCTTTACATAGAATCTTTTTATGAATATTCTCTTTTTTATCTTTTCAAATTTTTTCTTTTTTTAAAAAGTATATTAGTACACTTTTGACATACATAATGATTACATTCATTCATTATTGAAAATTTGCACCTGTGCATAATGTAGTTTAATTCTCTTTTTCTCTGTTCCACTTCCTTCCCTTCAATTCTTCTGCCCCTCTCCATTTACAAAACTTTGTTTCTATTGCTTTCCTTAATTCTTTTTTATTTTTTAAAATTTCTATTCCCTTTCTCCTTCCCCTCCTTTGTTCTCCTTGCCATTTGAACACTTACTTCCTTCTTCCCAAAATCTATCCTCCATTTTGGTCCTGATTTACCCTCTGGGTTTCTCACACAAGAGAAACAATGTGCTATTTAAATGTGTGTCATTTATTTCACTTAAAATTATGTTTTCAAGGAGCATCCATTTACCAAAAAATCACTTAAGTTATCCTTTTTTATAGCAGAGTACATAAAGACCACAGTTTCTTTATCCATTCATCTGTTGATGGGCATATGGGCTGTTTCCAAGATTTAGCTATTACAAATTGTGCTGCTGTAAACGTGTGTGCGTATATCGCTGTGTTATGATGCTTTTAACTTTTCAGAAAGATACCTGGAAGGGGAATAGCTGGGTGAAGTGGAATCTCTAGTTTTAGAGTCTTGAGGAATCTCCATACTGATTTCTGTAGTGATTTTATCAGTTTACACTCCCACCAACAATGGAGAAGCATTCCTTTTTCTCCATGTCCTCTCCAGTATTTGTTATTGATTGATTTCTTCATGATAGTCATTCTTTCTGTAGTGAGATGAAATCTCAGTGTTGTTTTAATTTGCATTTCTCAAGACCAGTGATGTTGAACATTTTGTCTTATATTTATTTGCGGTGTGTGTTTCTTTAGTTGAGAAATGTCTATTCATTTAAGATGCCTATTTTGGGATTGGGTTTTTATATTTGGGAGGGTCTGATTTTTTGCGTTCCTTATATATTCTAGATGTTAGTCGTTTGCCTGAGGAATAGCTGGTAAAAAAATGTTTCCCATTTTGTGGGTTGTCTCTTTGCTCTATTGGTGGTTTCTTTTGCTGAGCAAAAGCTTTTTAATGTGATGTGACCCCAGTTGTTAATTCTTTGTAGTATTTCTTCTATGATTGGGGCTTTTTCATAAAACCTTTGCTTATACCTATGTCTTCCAGAGTTTTAGCTATTCTGTTTTCCAGCAGATTATTTCTGTTTAGATGTTTGTTCCATTTTGATTTAGTTTCGTGTATACTAAAGAGATATGGGTCTAGGTTTAATCTTCAGCATGTGGAAAGCCAGTTTTCTCAGCACCATTTATTAAAGAGGCTATCTTTCTTCCAGTGAGGATGTTTGGGTCTTTTGTCAAAGATAAGGTAGCTGAGTATGTTCGGAGTTTCTACATCTTCTGTTCCATGGTGGTTTTTTTTGTTGTTGATACTGCTTTTGCTTTTTTTTTTTGCCAATACTATGCTGTTTTATCACCGTAGCTTTGTTGTATAATTTCAGGTTGGGGATTGTGATGTCCCCTGCTTTGCCTTTGTTGCCTAGAATTGTGCTTGTTAGCCATGGTCTCTTCTGGTTCCATATGAATTTTAGGATTGTTTAGTGTAGTTTGTGAGGTATGCTGTTAGTATTTTGATTGAGATTGCATTAAATCTATGTAACAGTTTTGAAAGTATGGCCAATTTCACTGTATAAGTTCTGCCTATCCAATAACAAGGGTTATTTTTCTATTTTCTGATATCCTCTTTGATCTCTTTTCTTCAGAGTACTAGTTTTTAATGTAAAGATCATTTACTTCCTTTGTTAGATTGATTCCTAAGTATTTCATTTTTTTTTTTTTGATGCTATTGTGAAAGGTGTTGTTTCCCTAATTTCTCTCTCTCAGTGAGTTTGTTGTTTGTGTACAGGAATGCTGCTGATTTTTGGGTCTTGACTTTGTATCCTATGCTATGGAATTTGATTATTAAGTCTAAGAGTCTTTTGGGGAAATTTTTGGAATCCTGTATATAGAGTACCATGTCACCTATACATAATGATAATTTAACTTCATCCTTTCCTATCTGTATTCCTTTTATTTCTTTCGCTTGTCTAGTTGCCTTGGTTAATGTTTCCAGAACTGCACTGAGTAAGAGTGATGATAGCGGGCATTCTAGTTCCTGATTTTAGAATAAAAACTTCCAAATTCTGACCATTTAATATGATGTTGGCTGTTGATTTGTTATAGATGCCTTTTATCAGATTGGGGTAAATACCGTCTATTCCCATTTTCCTTAGGTTTTTTTCATGTATGTGTATTGGACTTTTTCAAATGCATCTTCTGCCTCTATTGAGATGATCATGTGGTTTTTGTCCTTGGTTCTGTTAATGTTGTATATTACATTTATTGAATTGTATATGTTGAACCATTCCTGAATTCCTGGGGTGAGGCCTACTTGGTTATAGTGTATAATCTTTTTGATGATTTGCTGCATTGGTTACCAATATCTTATTGAAGATTTTTTGCATCTATCTTCATTAAAAACATTGGTAGTTCTCTTTTTTGGTTGTGTCCTTCTCTGGTTTTGGTGTCAGGGTTATGCTTCCTTCTTAGAATGAGTTTGGGAGCATTGCTTCTCTTTTCATTAAAGAGTTTGAGGAGTAGTAGCATTAGATTTTCTCTAAAGTTCTTGTAGAATTTTCTTTGAATCCATCATGACCTGGGCTTTTCATTGTTTGTAGTTTTTTTTAAAAAATTCTTTCAATTTAGTTGACTGATATTGGGTTGTTCAGAATTTTTATATATTCTTGATTCAGCTCAAGTAACATATGTATCTATGAATCTGTTCATTTCTTCTGAATTTCCCATCTTATTTGAATACAGGCCTTTGAAGTAGGTACTGATGATATTGTAGATTTCTACAGGATTTGTTGTGATTCTCCTCTTTCACTCCTCATTGCATGGATCTTTTCTTTCCTTTTTTTTTTTTTTTTTTTAATAACATTGGCAAAGCATTTGCCTGTTTAATTTTTCAAAGAACTAATAACTCCATTCTTTGATTCTTTGTGTTATTTTTTAGTCTTGATTGCATTAATTTCCACTCTGATCTGTATAATTTCCTTCCTTGTACAAGCTTTGGATTTAACTTGTTCTTCTTTTCCTACAATTTTTGAGGTTCAACATTAGGTTATTTATTTGAGCTTGCACTGTTTTTCTAATGCAGGAATTCACCACTATAAACGTCCCTTGTAGGACTGCTTTCATGTGTCATATAGTTCCTGGTATGTCACATTGATATTATTATTCAGTTGTAGAAACTCTAATTTCTTCTTTATTTTTATCAGTGATCCATTGGTTGTTGAAGGTGGTATTGTTTAATTTCCATGTGTTAATATAGTTTTTGTAGTTTCTTCCATTTATTTCCAATTTCATTGCACTATGATGTGATAATATGCATGGGATAATTTCATTTTTTTTTGTATTTACTTAAGCATGCTTTATGAGGTAGTATGTGGTCTATTTTGGAGAAAGTCCCATATGCTGCGTAGAAGAATGTATATTCTGTGGTTGGGTAAAACACTGTAGATGATCCTAAGTCCATTTGTTCAAAGGTGTGGTTCAATTCTGATATTTCTTTGTTGACTTTTTTGTCTAGTTGATCTATCTGTTTGTGACAGGAGTGTGTCGAGATTCTACATCACAACTGTTTCAGTGTTTGTCTGTTTTTTCCTATCCGTTAGTGTTTGTTTTATGTAGTTGGTACAACAGTATTTGGTGCATATGTATTTATGATTGTTATCTCTTTCTCTTGGATTGTTCCCTTAGCAGGTATGTAGTGAACTTCTTTATTTCTTCTGATCAGTCTTGGTTTGAAATCCACTTTCTCTGGAAATAGAAAAGCTACTGGATTTGACAATTTGTCTGGGTTCCTGTTACATGGAATGTTGTTTGCTCTTCTTTCTTTTTTCTTTTTTTGGTTTTTTGAAACAGGGTCTCCCTGTGTAGCCCAGGCTGACCTCAAACTCACTGTGTAGCCCAAACTGGACATGGACTAGCAACAATCCTCCTGCCTCAGTCTCCTGAATACTGGGATTACAGATGTGTGCCATCACACTCATGTGGAATATTATTTTCCATCCTTTGATAGTCAATCTGTGAATTTCTTTTAGAGTTAAATATGTTTCTTTTGATTTGTGAATTGAGACCATTCACACTTGTCATTGAATTATTTTCCTATTATTGGTTCCCTTTCTTTCCTTTGTATGTAATTGTTGGCCCTGCTGAGTGGATTCCTTGTATTGGGTTTATTAAAATTGCTGACTTCATTGTCTCTTTTTAGAATATCCTTCAAAACTTTTTAGAATGCTAGTTTTTTGTTCATGAATTTCTTCAGGTTTTTTTTTTATTATGGAAGTGCCTTATTTCTCTATCAATTTTGAAAGATAATTTTGCAGGGGACAGCAGTCTGGGTTGGAGGTTGCTTTCTTTTAGGGCTTGAAATACTTGACTGCAAGCTCTCTTTGACTTAATGGTTGGTATTGAGAAGTCTGCTGTGATTCTGATAGTTTTTCCTTTATACGTGATTTATTTATTTTCTTTAACAGCTTTTACTATTCTATTCTTGTGCTGAATTTCTGAAATCTTTGACTATTATATGCCTTGCTGTAGTTTTTTTTTAATCATAGATAATTGGAATTCTATATCCCTCACTTACTGTATATCAAATTATTTTTTCTGCCTGAGAGGTTTTCTGCCATGACATCTGTGAACATGTTTTTTTTTAATGTTATGTTCACTATCTCCTGCTCTTTCATAGACTCCAGTCAACCTTATGTGTGTCTTCTTTGCATCATCTAGCAGCTGCTGGTTTGATTTTTCATAGTCCCTTGGTATTTTTAAGAAATCTTTCTTTTCATGATCACTAACCTTCTGTCCTCACATTGTGTCATTCTGCTGTTTATACTTTTAATGGAATTTGTAATTTCCCTGATATCTGTTTGAATCTGCTTCATGGATTCCATTTCTTTCCTATATTGGAAATTCATGTTCTCTACAAATTTCCTAAGCCTCTATATTGCATCTGCTCTAGAGTCACTAAGCATGTCTTTCAGTATGTTCATCATCTCCATAGTTATCTGAGAAATTATTTTTGATTTAATTTTTCCTAGAGCCTCTTTCATTTGCTTTGTAAACTCCACAGTTACTACTATAGAAAGTCTATAGATGGGTAGCTTTTGGATTGTTCCACATCCTTGCCCCCTGAGTTTGTTGATGAAAGGTGGCGATCTTTTGGTCCAGTACCAAGTTCTTTGGTGTAGTATTGTTTATGGGCCCAGATAATCTAGGTATTGACATACAAAGAAGATCAGTTGATCAAAACAACGATGTCACTTTGGCTAACTTAGTACAAGCAGCAATAACTTTAGTATCAAATGCAAACTGGAAATGGCAAACTGTAATAACTAATACCTTTAATCCTAGGTATAGGGTTTATAAAGTAGTTATATAACAAGATCTGAAACAAATGAGAAAATTATATACAGTAAATATCCCCTCAATAGAACAGTTTACCCCCTTTTATCATAAAGTAGTATCCATAGTAAGATATTTTAAATTACCTGTAGATTCATAAGAGTAGGTGGTACAGGTGTGGTAGTCTGAAGAAAAAAGAGAAAAGAAACAGGTTATGAAAAATAAAGCAATCATAGATGTGAAGAATGTGGTATGATTGATGCAGGAGGACTTATGTTAAGGAGTAAAGAGAAATTAGTGATATTAGGTAACAGTGACAGAAGGATAAATAATAGAGAGTGAAGATTAAACTAGAGAAAAAGAAAATGAGAAAAAGGGAGCAAGTTAAAAAAGAGAAGGTGAGAAAAGAAGGGAGAGAGAATAAAAGGGGGGGTCTATTCAGACATTAATTAAACTAATATTAAAATGGGGCAAGAAAATGGGTGGTAAAACTCCAGACTCCACCAAAAGAAAAACAATAATGAAAAATAAAAAATGTACCAATGATGGAAAAGGAAAAAAAGCTCCTATGTATTTAGGAGCAGGACAGTGAGAGCTCTGTGTAGGCTCAAATCAGCTGGAGTGCTGAGTATGGACTCAGACCAGACCATTGTTAGCTCTGTGTGCTGGATGAATGTCCCAGTAAACTTCCCAAATTCAGCAAAAGACAAATGTATACAGATTCAAGTAGATGAGAAAACCTCAAACAGAAAACATCAAATAGATCCATGCCCATACACATCATACACGTGTGAAAACCAAATTCAAGAAAAACCTGAAAGCAATCACAGAAAAAAAGCCATGTTACCTGTGGGGAAATAGTCATTTAAATAAGACTGAATGTTTCACCATAAACCATGGAATCCAAAAAAGTGGCATATTTTTCAAGTGCTGAAGGAAAAGAACTGTTGATATAGAATTCACATCCAATGAAAATAAAATAGGCTCTGTTTAGGCTTTCAAAAAGGAGTAATGCCACATGAAAACAGACACACAGAGAGAAGATGACCATGTGACAATGAAGGCTATAAGAGTTATACAACTGCAAGCCAAGGAACACCAAGAATTTCCAGCAACCATGTAACATGGAAATCGTGTGACTTGTGGGATTTTATGACTTGCTTCTTTTAGTCTTTTTAAGATTCATGCATTTGCAGCAAGTATTAGTGCTTTATTTCTTTTTTATGGTTGGATACTATTATATTGTATGGATATACAACATTTTCTTCATTGTTGGTGACATTTGTTTCCATTTTTGGCTGTTATAAATAATGCTACTATGAGCACTCACATACAGGTTTTGTGTACATAGATATTTTTGTTTCTGTTGGATATATGCCTAGAAGTAGAACTGGTAAGTCATATTGGAAGGCTGGTGATTGCCTGACGGCTTCCCATTTGTACTATTCGATATTTCCACCAACACTGTATGAGGGCTTCAACTTTTTTCTTACTAAACCTTGTTATTATCTGTCTTTTTTATTACAGCCTTTTTGGTAGCTACATTTCTCTGATGACTAGTCATCTTATTGAAGTTGAAGGGATACTTCTGTGTGTTTTTGATTCCTACTTCCCTGATGGATATTTTTATGAGCTAATTGGCTGTTTGTGTGTCTTCATTGGAGAAATGTGTATTTGAATCATTGGCTCATTTTTTATTGACTTGTCTTTTTATTGAGATTCTTTTGGTGGTAGTGATATTGAACTCAAGGGCCTCACACATGCTAGCCAAATGTTCTACCACTCAGCTACATCCCCAGCCCCTATTGCATTTTAAATATTCTTTCTATATTTTAGGTACAAGTCCTTTAACAAGTGTATAATTTGAAAACATTTTCTACCAGTCTGTGAATTGTCTAATCCCCCCAACACACAAACCCTTTCTTTCTTTTGTGGTTCTGGGTATTGAACCCACAGCCTTGGCCCTGAACTACATCTCCAGCCCTTTTCATTTTTCATTTTGAGACTGAGTCTCACTAACTCACTGTCCAGGCTGGGCTTGAACTTGTGATCCTCCTGCCTCTGCCTTTCAGAGCACTAGAATTACAGGTATAGGCAACCAGCTAGCACATAGATTTTTAAGGTGAATATTACCAATATTACAGAAGGACTGGATGATCATTTTTAAAGGATTACATTTTCTCTTCAAAATAACATAAAATATAGGTGTTTAGATCACATGTTATAATCTTGATCCTTCCCCTTGAATTGGAATTTGTTTTCACAGAGAGTAGTATCCTTTGAGGATGTAACTGTAGACTTCAGCAAGGAGGAATGGCAGCACCTGGATATTGCCCAGAAGAGCCTGTACAGGGATGTGATGCTGGAGAACTATTTCAACCTGGTCTCAGTGGGTGAGCTCAGCCCTGTGGATATATTAATAGGCTGTGCCTGTGTTAGTTTATTTTCTTTCTTAGTGCAGTTTCTGAAATCTGGGTTTTCTGAGACATGTGGACTTTTGACAGGCTGTGGAATATCTTGAGTATGTAATGGTTTCTTGATTTTGTCCCATGCTCTTAATAATCTCCTTTGCATTCTGTGAGTATACCTTTGTTCTCAGTGAATTTTTCTAGAAATCATGTGGCATGCTTCATTCTATGGCCTCTGAAACCAACTGCTGTATTGTTTCTTCTTGATAGGATGTCAGATTCCCAACCCAGAAGTCATCTTCAGCTGGGAGCCAGGAGAAGACCCATGTTCACTGGGAAGTGAGAACTCAAGTCACAGCTATCCAGGTGAGTAAGGAACCAAGAACAGGGGACACAGTGTGACTCATTTGCATCTGTGCTGCCGGGGGCTGGCCACTTCAAAGTGCAGATAATATGACTTTTCTGCTTATGCTCTGAACTTTCATACTGGATAGGGTTGATGTTAGTCCTTTGGATATCTAAATGCTGTCCCCCACTGCCCATACCAGGGTGTTCTTTATATCCCACTCTACATCATCAAGAATTTTGATTTCTTCCTTTTTTCTTACTTTCCCTAGAAAATTTTTATTTTTTCTACCTCCTTCAGGACTTTAGAGCCTTTGTGTAGGTATTCAGATATTCAAATACCTGTGTTCTTAATGGAAATCAGTGTGGCTCACACTCCTGTTTGCTGGTAAGCTTTAAAAAAAAAGACAAACCTGGAGTGTGCTACCACTGAGCAATGTCCCTAGCCACTTTTAAATTTTTTTTTTAATTTTTAAATTTTTACTTTGAGACAGTCTTCCTAAGTTGCCCAGTGTGACTTCAGACTTGCAGTCCTCCTGCCTGAGCCTCCCGTGTAACTGGTATTACAAGCATTCACCACCATGTTCAGCTGAGTTTATTTTATAATCTCCCCAGGCCTCTCCTCTAACTATTGACTTTGAGAGCACCATAAACATTTTCTTCCTACTTAACTAGTATAACACAACATTGACTTGATCTTTCTAATTTATTTATGGAAATATTTCACAAGAAGCCTTTGTACCTCAAGTGCAGGAGATCGAGTTAATTATAACTTTACAGCCAGTGTCATCATCAGTATGTTTGCATTTTAATCCCAACTCCCCATACTCATTTTTATCCTTCCCAGAGGCAACTGCTCTAATTATGTGCTGTCTTTGGATTTGTAAGGTATTGGTAGAATCTAAGTTGTTGGTGTTTTTAAGTTCTGAAAATGGTACTTTGTTATATATCTTACTCTACTCAGTTTCTTCTTCTCTTTTTTCAAATAAGTCCACAATGTGGTGTGTTGAATTTCTAGTTCACTGTGTCTTGAGTGCTGGGATTCCAGGTGTGTGCCATTGAGGTCAGTTGTCCCATACTTCTAAAAAATGTTTCTATAGAAAATACTTACTAAAATTAAATTCTTTAATTTATAGGCAGGGAGGTTATTTTGCTTTATTTCAGAAAGAGTTTAAAGTTTTTCTCCTGGAAGCAATTTAGAGGTAATTAGAAAGAGAAAATAACTGTATGGAATCTTTAAAATTTCAACCTTTGTGTATTATACGTTTGTTAATGCACAAGTCTGTGTTACTTTAAAAATAAACATGAAGGTATCAAATATATTTGTTTTTAAGATAAAAGAAAAAATAGCCTCCCTTGAGATGTGGTTAGATTAGAGGTTAGTTTTTAGAGCAGAGAGCAGGAAGGACAGTGAACTTTGAATAGAAACAGTCAATAAAAGGAAGAAAAGGGAGGAAAACTAAAGAATTTGACATGTATATTTAGATTCAGTAAGACAATAGACTGGCTAGTGAAGAGACAGCTTGCATATATACATTTATTCACTTCGATTATGATTGTATCTTATTGAATGAGTAACCCAAACAGTAGTGACAAGGGAATTATATATAAATAAATTTTTAGGGCCGGGGATATAGCTCAGCAGCAAAGCATCTGCCTGGCAAGCGCAAGGTTCTGAGTTCCATTCCTGGTACCAAAAAAAAAAAAAAAAAAAAAAAGATTACACATCAGAAATGAAGCACTGACTCCAAAACATTAGATACTACTTTTTATTGTGTTATGCAGATCCCATTCTCTGTATATCCTTTTCTGCATTTTGCAGAGGTGATTTCAGACTACCTACCTAACCCAGCTCATGACACTCATGTACTTCCTGCCACTCTCACAGTAACTCATCCCTGAGCCACAGCTTTCTTAATGAATTAATAAAACCTAAGTTTGACCTTGGGTCAAGGCCTTTGTTCCAGTTAGCCATCATCCTAGCTGGGCTTAGGACCCACTTGGCTCCCTGACATCTTGTATATATAATTGTATATTTATGCCATGGTGGGCACTGGAAGTGGTAGAGTGGAATTAACTCCCTAGAATTCAAGTAACTTTGCCTTGGGATTGCAAATGTAAACTTCCTGGACCGTGATGAGGACTGGGTAGAGTTCCCTATAATTGTCACTGAGAATGTACTATGCTTTATACAGTATTCTGGGATTTAGAATGTTCCTATGACTCTGGGAAAAAAGAATATTAGAATAAATATTGGAATAAAGCCATGCTTCTGTAATTAAGAGATACCAAGTAACAATGAGTTAAATAATACAAACACTTACCCCTTGCATGACAGTTCCAAGGTGAATGGTTCAGGTTCTGCCAGGTGGCTACAATGGCCTTTCAGGGACAAAGTTTCTAGGAAGTCATTGCACCATTACCACCTAAGACGGTGGCAAACCTGTGGCACGCATATGCTGCAGTTGGCTGTTTGTTATCATTGAACACTCTAAAATGTTTGTCATCACTGGCCTAGTACAGAGGTTGGCAAACCTTTTCTATAGGGCACAGCAGTGAATATTTTAGGCTTGGGGCCTATATGCTTATTGTCATAACTATGCGTATTGCTCTTGTACCCACAAAGCAGCTATAGAGAGCATATTAGTATATAAATTTGCTGTGGTCTAATAAAAAACTTTGGAAACTGAAATTTGAATTTCAAATGATTTTTGTACACCATGAAGTATTCTTGTTTTTTGTTTTTGTTTTCCAGCCACTTAAGAAACATGAAATCCATTCTTAGCTTTTGGGTGAAGGCCTGGGTTTTGGCCCAAGAACCTGGTGTTCTGACCCCTGGCCTAGGGCACTGCCAGCTGCATAGAGCTGGTTGCTGCCAAATCTGAAATATCTGGTGGGAACAGAAGAGGTTTGTGGGAGACAGACTCACTTCCCTAAGAGTGGCCTTCTCACAGCAAACATAAATTTTACTTCCATTTGATTGGTAAGAACTGAGTTACTTAGTCCTACCAAATAGACAAGTGAGACTGTACCGAACTAGTGTTCTGAGGCAGCCATGTACTTGGCCATAAGCTTAATATTATACAGAAAGGGGAAAGATTTGATGGCTGACTTTCAGCCTCAGCTGGCTGGCCCTTTCTCCTGTTATGCTTCCTATTGGATACATGTGTATCTGTACTCTAAACTAGTATGAAGAACTGAGTCATAGACATCCAGTTTACCCTTTGGTTGAGTTAGAGTGACTGAGGCCTCAGTAGTTTCACTATAAACATAAATAGGTTGGTATTTGTGGCATAGTAGTTAATAGATAAAACAGAAATCAGTGAGATAGGGCTTATAGTTGAAGGATAAGATTCTAGAGTTAAAAGTACTTCTTTTAGGGCCTTGGAGGTATAGATTAGCAATACCAATAGGAAAGGATTATGATAAAGTTAAATGAGTCTTGAATAGTACATCCAAATGCTGTTGCTTATCATAAGGTAAATATAATACCATGTTAATTTTATTACTATAATATATATTATATAATATATATAATATATAATGTATTATAATATGTACAGTGATCCCTTACCTATCATGGGAGTTACATTCCAGAGGCCCCCTGTAATAGGTGAAAATCCATGAAGTAGCAGCATTATATTTATTTTATTATTTATGTATATTTTAAGGCTTTATAAATCCTTCCCACACTCCTATAAACCTTTCCCACTCTCTTATTAACCTTTCCCACATGCTTATAAAACACTTCATATGCTCCTAAATACTTTCTACACTCTTAAACCTTTATAATTTTAACAGTGTGTAAAATTCTATGTTGGTACTCACCAGTAAAGTATAGTATACTGCAAAATCCTGCAATATAGCAAAAACTCTGCAATACAGAATTAGATATATTTTTTTAAAAAACCACGATAGTGAAGCTGCAATAAGTGAACTGCAAGATAGCGAGGGAAAACTGTATAATATTTGTAAAAGCTTCTCCCTTTTCTCTGTTTTTACCCTGAATCAACTCAGTGTATCAGTCCTTCTGTCTTCCATTAATTGTTCTTTGTATCAGTTTTATCTTTTCTCTTTTTTTAGGTGGGAATATTGGTTTTGAGACTTCACAACAGGAACTGTCTGAAGAATTTTTTTTCCAGTCTGACAGAATTCATCTGTTTATAAGATATTTAGAATTGTGGAATGATGATAAATGGAAAAGGAGATATGAGGAAAACCAAAACAGACCTTTAAATCATGTTGCCTTCACTAACAAGGAAACACTAGCTAATGAGATAGACTGTGGGAACACAGGAAAAATTGTTCCTGTACATACACACCTTGTTTCCTCAAGGAAAGAATTCCACCACAGTAGCTCATTTGGAATGAGTTTGAAGGCTGTTGCAAGCTTATATAGTCACCATAGAAATGATGCCACAGAATATCTTGAGAAGATTATTGGATATGGTGATATATTTACTCCTATTAATTCTCATCCAGAAATGAATGTGTGTGAAACTAAGCAGTGTAGGGAACTTCTGAACCCCAAGCAAGGTCTTACTCAACATAAGAAAATTCATCCTGGGGAGAACTTTAATTTTTTTTATGACTTTGTTAAAGATTTCACTCAGAAGTCACCCTTATTTGCATGTCAGAAAATTTATGCTGAAAAACAGCAAGAGCATAGCAAATGTAAGACAGCCTTCATTCAGAAGCCCCAGAATGCTGTACCTCAAAGGATCTTTATTGGAAAAAAACCCTTTATGCCCGCAGAATTTGGAAAGGATTATATACACAAGTCAAGTAGTCAGAAAATTCATAATGAAGAAAATTACTATAAACACAGTGAATATGGAAGAGGCTGTACCCAGAAGTCTGATCTGTCCAGTTGTCCGCGAAATCTTACTGGAGAACTCTATGAATATGGTCAGTGTGGAAAAAACTTCCCTCATAATTCAAAACTCACCATACATAAGGAAGTTCCTACCAGAGGGAAACATTTTGAATGCACTGAATGTGGAAAAGCCTTTACAAGGAAATCAACACTAAGTATGCATCAGAAAATTCATACAGGAGAAAAACCCTATGTATGTACTGAATGTGGGAAGGCTTTTATCCGGAAGTCACATTTCATCACACATGAAAGAATTCATACTGGAGAGAAGCCCTATGCATGCAGTGACTGTGGGAAATCATTTATAAAAAAGTCACAACTCCTTGTGCATCAGCGGATTCACACAGGAGAGAATCCTTTCATCTGTTCAGAATGTGGGAAGGTCTTCACTCACAAGACAAATCTCATTATACACCAGAAAATTCATACTGGAGAGAGACCCTATATATGTGCTGAATGTGGGAAGGCCTTTACTGATAGGTCAAATCTCATTAAACACCAAAAAATTCACACTGGGGAGAAACCCTACAAATGTGGTGATTGTGGGAAATCATTCACATGGAAATCACGGCTCAGAATCCATCAGAAGTGTCACACTGGTGAGAGGCATTATGAGTGCAGTGACTGTGGGAAGGCATTCATTCAGAAGTCAACACTTAGTATGCACCAGAGAATCCACAAAGGAGAAAAACCCTATGTTTGCACTGAATGTGGGAAGGCCTTCTTCCACAAGTCACACTTTATTACACATGAGAGGATTCATACTGGAGAGAAACCCTATGAATGCAGTGGCTGTGGGAAATCTTTCAGTAAGAAATCACAACTCCATGTTCATCAGCAAATTCATACCGGAGAGAAACCATATAGATGTGCTGAATGTGGAAAGGCATTCACAGACAGATCAAACCTCTTTACACACCAGAAAATTCACACTGGAGAGAAACCCTACAAGTGTAGTGACTGTGGAAAAGCCTTCACTCGGAAGTCAGGCCTCCATATACATCAGCAGTCCCATACTGGAGAAAGACATTATGAATGCAGTGACTGTGGGAAAGCCTTTGCAAGGAAATCAACACTTACTATGCATCAGAGAATTCACACAGGAGAGAAACCTTATATTTGTACTGAGTGTGGGAAATCCTTCATCCAGAAGTCACACTTGAATAGACATAGGAGAATTCATACTGGAGAGAAACCCTATGAATGCAGTGTCTGTGGGAAAGCCTTCATTAAGAAATCACAGCTCCATGAACACCATCGAATTCACACAGGAGAGAAACCATATATATGTGCTCAATGTGGAAAGGCCTTTACTATTAGATCAAATCTTATTAAGCACCAGAAAATCCACACTAAACAGAAGCCCTATAAATGCAGTGATGTGGGGAAAGCCTTAAACTGGAAGCCACAACTTACAAGTCAACTCACTATAAATCAGAAGTCTGATATTGGGAAAATAGAGTGCCCAGTGCCACAATCATAGCATGGTAATACAAAGAAATCAGAGGCTACAGTTTGAACAAGAAGCAAGAGGTACCCATGGCTCACCTACCACCTCCAGTATAGTTAAAATATCTGCATCATATGGCTGATATTCATTGTCATTTGGGGAGATACTTTGGAGAAAGTATCTTAATAAGCAATGTGTCATGGTCATCCTTGGTTACTTGACAGATTGAAAGGCCCTAGTAAATAATAGTAAAGATGGAAAATGTAGGTGACATGGTGCATGCCTACAGTCCTGGGTACTCACAGTCTGAGGCAGGAGGATCACTTGAGCCTGGGAATTTGAGACCAACTTGGGTAACATATAAAATGTAAAGAGATGACTTACAATCTCTTTTTTTTAATGGCAAAAACTATTTGGTAGTTACAAAGAAAAAAGGTTCATAATATGAGTAGAGTGGTGAGAAAATTTTCATTATCTAAGTCCCCGTAAAGAGACTGAGGTCATGGCAGAAGTTAATTAATTCATGTCTGTAATGAGAAGAAAACAGAAGGTTTTGTGAAAATTGACACTGGGGACTGTACTTTTTCTTTGGGAAATCATTATTTCTTGTTTTTAGCACTTAATGGTAAATGCTGTTCCACTAGGTTCCAGAAAGTCTAAATGGCTTCCTGCCTGTATCCCAGAATTGATCAACGATGTGAGCAGCAGTCTTATAACTACTTGTAACCTCAGAACTGGCCCTTGGGTCACAGAATTTAGCCACAGGGTCCTAGACCTAGGTAACAGCATTTTCAGCCCTCAATTTTTTCATAAAAAGTGGCACGTTCTTAATGGTTTCTATTTGAAGAAGGGATAAATTAAGAAAAATGGGTTCCAAAACTTAGAATTCTTTTCCTTCAGTTTTGTTAATATATATTCTATACATTCGTTACAGGCTAGATTACCACAGAGTACAATTGTCTTGCATTTTAGCTTGTTTTTTTAATAAGATAAAATACAGTTCAACATTTGGAAAAGTACCCTTCCTATCTCTTCCATTCTCTACAAATAATCATATTTAATCAGATGCTGAAATGTTATAATCTTGCAGAATAACTGCATGTCTTTTGTTTATAACTACCAATTTTTGTTTTATATATTGAGTCTTCTTTGTAACATACATTCAAATTTAGAATTGTTATAATTTTCCTCATTAACTGAAACTTCATCATTGTGAAGTGTTTCTTTACTGTAGTGATTTTTCTTTTTACATAAAATGCACTGTCAGGTAAAGAATATAGTGTGCTTACTTCCCATGTTAAAGGCAAATGTAAATTTGTACTCAAACCACTTCTGATCAAGGAGGGGAGTTGGAACATAACTCTTTTCCCACCTAGACTTACAGTATTGATGTCATGCATTTGGATTCTTTATATAACTGATATAATCAGTCATTCTTTTAATGTGAGTTTACTGGTGGCAAATTCCGTTTTAATTTGTGTGAGAGGCATGGCCTTTTCTTTTTGTACTGGGGATCAACCCCAGATCCTTGCATATGTTAAGCATATAGTATCCCTGAGTCATATCCCCAGCTCTTGGCTTTACCTTACCTTACTTTACCTTACCTTTTGCTTCACCTCACCCTCACCTCAGCCTTTACCTTACTTTTAGCGAGCATAGAATTCTCAGTTGCACTTACTTTTATCAGTGTTTTGGAGATAGTTCATTATAGTCTGTCTCTTGTTGAAAAATAAGCTGCCAGTTATAGTTCTCTTTGAAGTATTTTTTTTTCTATCTTCTTTAAACTGTATCTCTTTGACTTTTGCTTTTAGCAGTTGTATGGTGATGTATTATCAAGGTATAATTTTCTGTGTATTTATCCTACTTGGTGTTGCAGTGATTCTTTAATATGTGGTGTGTGTGTATGTGTGTGTGTTCGTGCTTGCATATATGCATCTTGGAAATTCCTAGATATTATCTGTTTGTATTATACATCTGGTTTATTCTGTTTCTTCTACAGATAGTTTTTAATATAGCTACTCTTTTAGCCTATTTTTGTTAGTGGTTGTTTTACTTGAGTTTGGGTGATGTCATCTTGTATAGCAAGTGATTTTATAAATCACTTGCCAGACACAGCCTATTAAAACAGTAGAGACAGATGGTTGAGGTGGTCTCTACTTCCAGAGAACATTTGTCTTTGCTTTCAACAGGTGACCAGGCTAGGGATAATAGCAATCCCTGATTTCCTTTACCTAATCATATATTGAGGTTGTGAAATGAGACATTAGTTCTGTGAGGGCTTGTCTATTTTTTCACCCTTTTGAAAGGGGATACCTGCAGGACTGTGGAAGGTTGCCTTAGGCATTAGGTAGCAGCTCTGTGTAATAAGCTACCTCACATTCTAGAGACTATGTCTTATCTCTTATCTTACACCTGCAATTTCTCACTGCATGGATAGCTTTCTGTCCCTTCAAAAAGTTAAATATAAAAATAGAAAGTATTAAAAAATACTTTCTTCAGCCTTAATTTTAGTTCTCAAAAGACAATACAGATTTCTACCACCTACTCGTCCATTAACAGATCATTTCAGTTGATTGAAATAGTTGTTCCTACCTAATGAGTCTGGAATCTCAAAATTTATTTTTATTTATTTTTTTATTTTTCAAAATTTATTTTTAAATCACCAAAATTACTGACTTAGAGAAAAAAATGCTCCAATTTACAACATTATTTTAAAGACTTTACAAGTTGTGATACAAGAAAATCACCCCCTCTGGTGCCAGATTTTATTTGGTAGCTTCCAAACTTCAGCAAAAGCAATATATTGACTAAAGGATGCTTAGATGTCTTCTTTAACACTATGGTTTTTCCTTTGGGTAGAAAGTGAAGTTAACAGTGAGTGGCCTGAGAGTCCAGAAGTTTGAAAATAAGGATTTCAGAACTTACTTTAGTAGGATTATTGAGTGATTCTCAAGTTTTTAAATTCTCAGCCACATTTTAAAATAATAAAATTCCATACTTCAAGACAAAAAGAAAGAAGACAAACTACATTACCTCTTGTCAACACAAAATCGATCTCTAGGGGAAAGGAAGACTTTCTTTGGTGATGTTCCTTACACTGAGGAATTGACTGAGTAAATGATGGGAAACTGAGTGGAATGGCATAGCTAAATCTTAAATGGAACTCCGAGGTCAGTATAGATTGGAGTGTGTAGGTTATAAATTTCACTAGGGAAGTTTTGTAGGTTATTCATGTCTTCTTAGGGGAACATATTACAGTTCATTTGCATTTGCATCAAAACTATTCAAAGACAGTTTTATAATTTAAAGTTTTTAATAAAATGCACTTTAATGTTTCAAAAAAATCTCATACTGTGAATTAAGTCAATGTAAGAAAATCAGACAGTTCATAGGGAGAGCAGTTTTATATACTGATGTGAGTAGGATTTTGTTCACAAATTATGCTTCATTCCATGTGAGAGTATTCATACTGGAGAGAAATTTTATCAGTGCACCTATAGGGAATCTTCCACTGAATTCAGTGACCTAAACATCAGCAAATTTACATGTGAGCAAAAAGAACAGTTCAAATCTCATTACACACCAGAAACTTTCTGGAGAGTGACTGGCATACCTTTTATTTACTAAAAGGAGGCAACATAAATGTGGGAATAGCTTCACAGAGAAATCAGTTTTCAGTATTCTCTATTTATACACAAGGGAAATCATGTATGTTCTGAAAATGAGAATGTGTCACACAAGTCAGAACCAATTATAAATTACCCATCTTACAGAGAAACCTTATGATTATTTTATATTGGTTATTACTTTAGCCAGGAATCACACCTCAGTATGTATCAGATAAATAATTGAGAAGAATATGTTTCCTCAGAACAGAATGGATTAACTGTGGGAGAAGCTCTAAATTTGATACTTTGGAAAAAGCCTTCCTATAAAAGTAAATTCCATAAGAAATAGAATTTATTGTGTTTCATGAATTGATTTTAAATCAGTGTCTTCAGTGAGGAGAAATAGAACAGTCTAAAATTGCCTTTCTTTTAATCAAAATATTTAAACAAAAATGTGTGTGCATACACAAAGCTTTGTACAAATGACTTTTTTGGTGCTATTGAGGATTGAACCCAGGGCCTTTGCACTGAGCTACATTCCCAGCCCTTAATTTTAATTTCTAAAAACATTGTTTAAATATTAAAATTTTTTTTTAAATTTTGCTGAGTCATTAAGTTCCCAGGATGGGCTCAAAATTGTGAACTTTCCATCTCAGCTTCCCAGAGTGCTGGTGTTACAGGCATGTACCACCATGTGTGGATGTGACTTTCACAGCATGGTCTATGTACTCTGCATTTTTGTACTTATTCCAGTGTCTTAGCAAATCCTATCATCTCAATAGTCTGTCAACAGATAGTCTGTCAACTCGTTTCTTCATGCTCACAGTCATATACACATTAATTTGTACACACATTTTTCTATGTGTGTGATCATTGTCTTGCACTCCATAATTTTTAACTAGTTGAGAAGTCCATGGTGGAGGAATACCATAATTCTTTTGACCATTTTGCCACTGGTTATTCACATTTTTGTCTCTAAGAAAAATGATGTTACTACAATCCTGAAGAGGTAGCATAGGTTAGTGGATTATTCCATGGGCATTAACATGCCATATCATATGCCTGAGATGAGATTGATGATTAAATTGTATGTGTTTACTAATTTTAATACATTTTATCAGATTATTTGTAATACAACTGTAGCATTTTATGTATATAACAGTATATAAATTATCCATTTCCCTCTACTAAAAATAGATTTACTTTTTAATAGAGTAACTTCGTGAGTTCAAAGTGATAACTAATTTTAATCTGCATATTATGTTTTACATTTTTTCTTGTAATATCGGTTGAACCTAGAGACTTTGCACAAAGCTACATCGCCTTTATTTTATTTATTTATTCTTTTAGACAGCACTTGTTAAATTGCCTGGGCTGGGCTTGAATTTATAATCCTGCCTTAGCCTTCCAGAGTGCTTGAATTATACGCATATGCCACCATACTTGGCTTCTAAACATTTCTTGGCTGTTTGTATTTGCTATTCTATACTTTGCCTTTATACATTATTAATTCATAGGTTTTTCTTTTTGGATTGTTTGTATCACCATTTTTAAATTGTTTTTATATGTTAAAAATAGTAACTTCATTCTGAAAAAATGTATAGTGTTTGTTTTGACCTTGTACCGATTTTCCTATTCACATCATTTTAGTTTTACATGTTTATTTGTCCATCCTTTCACAGGTTCTATATCACAAGGTTTTAAGTGTTCTGTATGATTTACATATCATTTATATCTTCTTGGGAAGAGGATTTATTTCTTTTCTTGGACACGAAGAGCCACTTTTGCAGTATTAGACACTTTGTTAAGCCAAAATGCAATTTCAGTACTCTTAACTACTCACTTCTTTATCATCTTTTGAAGCGGGAAGTGTCCAGCTGACCTGCCTCTGACTAAGAGAAGCAAAACATTGGTAGATGTGTCCTAGGAATACCTTTGTTTTTACAAGAAAAGGGCCGGGTGTGGGTGTTGCCATCGGTTTTACCTTTCCTGATTGGTATAGGGCCTGTCTCTGTGGCAGCCTTCTTTTCACCAGTGTGATTCTTTGGTTCACACAATGACAGAGACCCTGGCCCAGATATTATTTACGCAGCTCTAGCAACAGTTGACCTGTAGACTTTAGGTATGTAAGAAAAATATATTTTGCAAATGCCATTGTATTTTAGGATTATCTTGTACATAATACCATACCAAAACTTATTCAGGCACCAAAGGTATAAAGTTATACATGGTTATGCACACAAAATTGAGTAAGTTAGCAAAATTATTCAAGATTTGTAATGAGTAAAAGGAACCGTAAATGTTGAATGAATTAAGAGGACCAGAAATGAATACTAATAAAGTAAGTAAAAGATTTTCTAGTGGACATAATTGATCAAAATTGAAATAAAAAACTGAAAAATGTCAGTAACTATAAGTAACTTAGAAGTATTACAGGACGACCATTTACACTAACAGGATTACAAGTTAGATAAATGACTGTAAAAAGAAATGATAAATTGGACTTTACAAGATTAAAAGCTCTTAGCTACCCTAAACTACATAGCATGAACCCTGTCTTTTAAAAAACAATTAAAAGCCCATCCTTTGAAACA